CTCCAAATTGACAAAACCTTTCTTAATCATATAAAAATTAACAAAAAAAGAAGACAAAAAATATTTCCCTTGGGAAAATATCTTGTATCTACTTAAATGAGTAAAACATCGACCTTTATTTTAACATGGATTTTTATTTTAAACTTAAACTAAGCAACATTGAGTAGTGGGAGCAGGAATTTTCTGTCAATCCAAACAAGACAGAATTGTTTGTTTTTTTCACTCCTTAGAAGTCAAGGAAGGGTTACTCACCTCCAAATTTGGAGGGTGTAGAACTCTCCTTGTCAGAGTCGGTTAAATTCTTGGGTGTCTATCTGAATAGGAAGCTTAACTGGAAAATACATGTAAATGAAAAGTGTAAGAAGGCAGCAATCTGACTACACCAGTGCCGTAGAATTRCAGGTAMTACCCCAAAGGTTATCTGATGGATCTACACGGCCATAGTCCACCCCATGCTATGCTATGCTGCTTTAGTATGGTGGGTTCAAGTCCAATTTGGCATGCCARGAGTGATGCTCACCCATGTGCAACGAATGGCCTGCCTGAACATCGCAGGTKCCATCAGAACAACCCCYATGRCAGCCATGGAAGTCCTACTGGAYCTGGCTCCACTAGATTTATTTATCTTATGCTACATTTACACCAAACGCATTGCACGCCTCCAAAAATCTCAAAACGCACGCCTCCTGACGCTGGTGTCCAGTGAGGACAGACGCATTTGATGTGAACGTAGATGTGCTTCTTTTGGCGCGCGATAGGAGGAGCCTTTTTAACCGTAGTTTCGATAACTTACCAGACATGCCAACTTCCTCACTAATCGTCCTCCAGACAAAGTCCTTTTCATTTCTATCATGATAATGGACACTGGAATGATCATAAATGATCGGACTATCAGTTTTTCTTCCATTGTTTGTGTGATACGATTTCCCGGGCTTCTGGTATTTTTGGCTCGTCACCAGTACGTCACTAAGCAGAGTCTCTCTGATTGGTTGATGCGACACTTTGAGCAGCATAAGTTCAGATTTTCCAACTTGAACATTGGACGCTTTGGACATGCTGCACCCACGGAAAAGCTCAGGACGTATGCACCGCTTCGAACCGCGCTGCTCGAAATGCACCAGACGCACTGCTCGGCTTCTAGATGCCCCTACATGCGCGTCCACCATTGACTTTGCATGTAAACCAGATGCTCCTGATGCTCAAAACGCGTTTGGTGAAAATGTAGCATAAGGTTCATAAGCCTTGGCTTCAGCCTACTCTGTTTTTGGTAAATTATGG